CCCCCCCCTCACGCACCTCCTACCCAGCCCCCCCCCCCCCCCCCCCCCCCAAAAAAAAAAAAAAAAAAAAAAATTTAAGTTTGTTTTTAAAAATATTTTCAATTTCAAAATTTCATTTTTTCACCCCTACCCTCGACCCCCCCCCCCCCCCCCACGCCCTACTAGCCCCCCCCCCCCCCCCCCACCCCAAAAATAACTTTAAGTTTGTTTTTCAAAAATATTTTCAATTTCAAAATTTCATTTTTTTCACCCTCCCCCCACCACCCCCAAAAAAATTTTAAATTTGTTTTTAAAAAATATTTTCAACTTCAAAATTTCATTTTTTCACCCCTACCCTCGACCCCCCACCCACGCCCTACCAGCCCCCCACCCCACCCACCCCCTACCAGCCCCCATCCCCCCAAAAAAATTTAAGTTTGTTTTTAAAAAATATTTTCAACTTCAAAAATTCAATTTTTCACCCCTACCTTCAACCCACGCCCAAAAAAATTTAAGTTTGTTTTTAAAAAATATTTTCAATTTCAAAAATTATTTTCTACCCTAGTAAAAATAAAAGATATTTCTAAAAAAAAAAAAATCATTCATAAATCAAACACTAAAAATCTTTTCCGGAAAATATTTTCTACTCACCAACCAAACATGAGAAAATAAGTCAAAAATCAACTTGTTTTCCAGGAAAACATTTTCTAGGAAAACATTTTCCATGGAAAACATTTTCCTTCGTACCAAACATACCCAGAATCTCATCATTAGTTTCCATTACCAATTAAATCAACTTTTTTATCAGGCAAAATCGTTGATGGTATGTTATATGCTAATTTCCAACATCATTGTTGTATTTATAGTTGCTTTCATTAAGAACTTGGTCTGGATAAATTAAGTATTAGAAGGGCAAAGTGCACTCATACTCAATTTTGACATTGTCATTTAATTTGTATTTGCTTTTAATTTTCTTTTATGTGTCTATCTATTCAACATAATTTCAGGTATGCGGTATCTAAAGTTGATCTTAATAAGCCTAGTTTCATACATTGTGTCTGAAATTTCATATAGTCTATATATGGTTGTAGTTCATTTGTGCCTCAATTTTGTTATTTTTGCTTGAATTTACTAGTCATATATGTGCATGAACTTCAAATAAAAATGACAAATCAAAGAAAAATGATTGAACTTCAGTCATATGTAACTTTAGACTATTTTAAAAAATAGTGAAAATATATTAATCCGCGGTCCGTGAAATTCTTGCATGTTAGAAACGAAGTGCGCTCGATCTGAAATATCAGTTAGTGTAGATATTACGGCAGTCGGCATATATATATATATATATATATATATATATATATATATATATATATATACAAAGATCTTAACTACTTATTATCTCTCTTTTCTTTTTTATTATATTTCTTTTCACATTATTGTACAAGCAATGTTAAAAAATGGAATCGTTTGTTCCCTTTATTATTGTTTTTTAAAATTACTTTGGGATGGGCGGGACATAGATGAGGCTAAGGCTGGGCATCGGACCGGAATGAATCGGTACCGGATCGGAACGGGATGGTTTGACCGGATTGTTGATCGGTATCGGGATGAACCGGACCGGAACTATCGGGATGGAGGCTCAGTTCCGTCCCGTCCCACTGTATACCGGGATAGAACCGGGACGGATCGGAATGGACCGGAACGGAACGGGATGGGATAAACGGGACGGCACATATAGCTATTTCAAAAAAAATAATTATTTTTTTGAGTTATTTTGAATTACGAAAATACGAATGTTTTTTTTTATTTTTCTAAGTTATATTAGTTTATAGTATTTAAGTTTTAAAATTTATAATAATTTTACTTAAGTTTATTTTAAAGATTTTTTTTAAAATTTTTTACGTATATAAGTTTGTAAGTTAGGTTTAATAAAGTTTTTTTGAAAGTTTTTGAGCTTATGTAGTTATGTTATAAGTTTTAAAGATTTGAATCTTTTGAAGTTTATAAGTTATTAAGTTATACTTATTAACTTGTAAGTTAAATAACTTAAGTTTGTAATTTTAAAAAATTAAATAAACAAAAAAGAAAGCTAATAAAAGTAAATAATGACAAAAATATTATTTTTTATTTTAATTAAAAATGATTTACCGAGACCGGACCGGTACCGGAATGAACCAGTACTGGTATACCGGTACTAAATCATGACACCGTTCCGTTCCGTGTACCGGTTCAATGTATCTCATCCCGTCCTGAATACTATCGGACCGGAATGGTACCGGTACAATCCGTTCCAATGCCCAGCCTTAGATGAGGCAGGGGCGGAAATACTTAGTAATGTATGAGTTCAGTTAAACTCAATAACTTTGATCTAAACTGTGTTATTATATCTATCATAGATACAATTAAAATATATCTACCACATATACAATTAAAGTATGTCAATTGTTAACTAATTGACAGGCTATATGGGAATTGTTGAAAGCTAATATGTAATAATATTAAGTTCCGAATGTAGTAACTCAAATAGTCAATGAATTTAATAGTATCTCGAATACATGAATACGCCTTCATAGACGTATACATATCTATATGTGAGTGTGGGTGACAATAGGATCCAACGATCGATTGGTTGAGGTTAAATCTTAACTTTGAAACAATGTATATATACTTAATTAATGTCATACTCACAGTTAGCTAGCTAATAAAGGTAATTATAGTGATCTATCTTTTTATATATATACCATGAAAACAATTTAACAACTAATTTATTAAGTTCTTCGAACGTGTAATTAACTCCCATATCCTCTCACCAAAAATAATGTATATATTATTCTAGTTTCTAATTTAGCTAACGCTTTAATTTTATTCTTTTATTTTCCACCAAATTTGGTGGTAATTATTAAACTATGGTTGGGGTTTTGACACGTTTCTTTTCATTAATAACAACGCAATTTTAATATTTTGGTTTACCATTTATTGAGTTAGATTTTTGGCTATTATATGAAAAAAATTCACTGGTTTTCTACTGGAGCTTAGTATTTGATATTCGTATAATCGTATTTGATTGACTAATTCAAATTCATACAGAAGTCTTATATTAGGATAAAGTGCTCTCTATTAAATGAGGTACAAACATATCTAAAGAGACGAAATTCTTCAATTATTCTCACTTTTTGCCCTCTATATTGTACTATATCATAACCTTGAAAAGAAGCTTTTTATTTTTATTTTAATACTATTATATTAATGTGAAAAAGTTCTCTTTAAAACTGCCTCATGCAATGGACCGATGCCTATAAGCAAAGTTTCCTCGTATTTACCTAGGATATTTTTTAATACTAGTAAAAAACAATTTTCTACTTTCTATGATTTTGTTGTCTTGTTACTTATGTTCTTCATGCATGGGGATTTTCTTATATATAAAACATCCGCTTAATCTTTACTAAATCACTAATATATTTAATTATACATAATACATAAAAATAACTGTTAACTTGATCTCAACTTAGGTGTGCACAAGTAGACATTTAAACTTATATATAATTCAACAAGTAGATACACACATCCTATGTGACGTTCTACATAGCAATTTGCATCCCACATGACGTCCTTCGTGTATTATACCACATAAGAAGTGTATGTCTACTTGTTCAACTTTATACAAGTTTAAAGTGTCTACTTGTGCACATCCAAAATTGGAGAATATAGATGTTAGTTAAGACCAAGTTAAAAAACACGTTTATATATTATGTCAATATATTTATTTGATCATCTAATTATTTAAAAGTTCTTCCTTTCTTTTAAATTTTCTTGCGCCTCATACATCCTCTTTTCTTCTTAAGGTAAGTTAAAAGGCTTGCACAATAGAAATATCTAGGAGTGGCAAAATCAAACCCAATCCATCCAATCCGGTTAAGTTTGGATTGGTTATTGACCCGTCCATTCATTAGCTCTACCCATTAAAATTGGATTGATATGTAACCCGAATAACAAATCTTGTCAAAATATTTTTTAAAAAACTTTTTTTTCAATTTGATATGTTATAATTATATATAGTCATAATAAAGAAAAATAATAATTTTACCATGTACTAAAATAGTTTAGAAGAACAAATAAAATAATTAAGCTTAGTAAAAATTGGATTAAGTCTTGACCCGTTATATAACTTGTTACCTAACCCATTTTGACCCAAGCAAATTTGGGTTGGATTGAGTCTTGACCCGATTATTGTCTTAACCCATTATGACCCATCCAAATTTAACTCAACCCACACAATTGCCACCCCCAAAAATATATAATTGACAATCTTTAAATTGTTAGAAAACATAAATTTTTATTTACTTACCCTTATATTATGTTTCAATAACTTGTCACAATGTTATTTTCTCTTTTTAAGTTTCAAAGAAAAAATTGGCATATAACACAAAAATTAATTGTCGAGTAGTTTCATCAATCTAAGGCTCTTCCCTTTTAGGTGATGTCAAATTAAGTTAGGAATTTCTCTAAAAAAAAGTAATACATTAATTTGACCTACAAATCTAATCATATAATTAATTTTTCAATGACGAATATTCAACTGACTGTAATTATTCAGCCATGATTTTAAAATGTGTTGAGTGCATTATGATTAAAGTAATACTTAACACTGATCTAACTTATCTGTACGTAACAAGCATCATATATTACTTTATAGATATTCATGAATTTGGTTCATTTAAGTTAACTAATTAATGGATTAAGGAATTAATCAGGTAATAATTACTTTTAAAATGGTATATTTTTCTTTTGTCTCTAAATTAAAAGTACTAGTCATATATACACTCTTTTAACAGGTTATTAACATATAGTGGTCCACTAATAAGTAAACTTTATGTAACATGCAAGTAAGAGTGGAAGAGAAATTAGCTAATATACATCATTTACCTAACTAAAAAAAATGACATGCCATCAAATTTCAATTAAATTAAGTAAAAAGTCCTTTCATCTATATATAATTTGCGTTGGGAGGTCACAAAATTAGAATGCAACAATTCTATAACACATTTTTAGAACTTAAATGCAAAAGAGATTTGTAGAAAGTACATACACAAACTCAAAAACACACACACACACACACTAAGGCCAAAAAAAAAATGGAGTCAAATTGGCTTCGCATTTTTGTCCTCTTGGCTTTTTGCTTCTTTCCAGTTTTCGGCATTACTCGTCATTACAAGTTCAATGTAAGTACTACGTTTCAATTTATTTATCTTACTTACTTTTCACACGACATGCATAAGATCACAACATTAAAAGGACGTTTGGTACGTTATTCTACATATTATTAGGTTAAGATTACAATAATCAAAGGTTTATTTCTTTACTTTCTTAAACTATGTGTCAAGTCAAAACCAGACAAACGAATTGAAATGAGTGGAGTATTCATTTTGGTTTTCTCTTAATTGAAAAGATTACAATAAGCCAATTTTCTATTAATAATGAACAAGTAATATATTTGAATTTCTCTTATATGAAGTTACAATGTTTTTGAAATATATTGGTTGTGTATAACTTGTAGATATCTAAGTTATTTTTTAGTTTTTTCATACCTGATACCACTATATAGATGAAGTGTTCAACAGCCTTTTATTAAGACTAAAAAATCTTTAACATGAATAAGTACAAGTAAGGTGGGCTAGATCGATATCAAGTCCTATAGTTTTTTTTTTTTTGCTTTTTTTTTCTTATATTTATTGGTGTTCTAGGTGGTAATGAGGAACATGAGTTGTCTATGTTCAAGCAAGCCTATTGTCACTGTTAATGGAAGGTTTCCAGGACCTACAATTTATGCTAGAGAAGATGATAGAGTACTAATCAAAGTTGTTAACCATGTCAAATATAATGTCTCTATCCATTGGTAAGTTCATTAATTTTATACGTACGATTCTCAGTCATCAAATTTAAATTCTGAATTCGTATCTGATTAACAGGCATGGTATTCGACAACTTAGAACTGGTTGGGCAGATGGACCAGCATATATCACACAATGTCCAATTCAACCAGGGAAAAATTATGTATACAATTTCACAATTACTGCCCAAAGGGGTACATTATTTTGGCATGCACATATTTTTTGGCTAAGAGCTACAGTCCATGGTGCAATTGTCATTTTGCCTAAACGTGGTGTACCGTATCCATTCCCTAAACCTAACCATGAAGCTGTGGTTGTTTTAGGTAAACATATTTAATACTAATCTATATACTTGTTAGAAACTATATTCTTACTCTTCTTTGTATTTCCGAGGGTCTTTCATAAACTAAGGCAAATAAAGAGTCTTATTCGCCCTTTCAGTATATTATTTCACTTGATTGGATATATATCTAGCTAATTAAGACGATGTCTTTCGTTGAAAAATTATATAATGATTTTTTTTAATGATGTAATGTAGGTGAATGGTGGAAATCTGATACTGAAGCTGTGGTTAATGAAGCTCTAAATTCAGGATTAGCCCCTAATGTTTCTGATGCTCACACAATTAATGGTCATCCTGGACCTGTTTCCAATTGTCCGTCTCAAGGTAATACTTCCAGATTACTCCGTTTTAATTTATATGACATTATTTGACCAGACATGAAATTATATAAAGCCAAAAAAAAAAGAGCTTTTATTTCGTCACATATAAAAATTTATGGTCATTTTTATAGATATCAACATATATCAATATTTAAGCAAAATGAGAGGTTTAAAATAAGTCTTCAACTATAAAAATATGTTATTTTTCTCGAACAGGCTATAAAGGAAAGAGTGTCATATGCCTTATACAAATAGCTTGTGTTCAGTTCAAATTTTATGTGAACTTTTCTCTCATGACTCACAATATGTACTTTTCATACCGTTTTAGCTTTGGAAATTAGTCAAATTCATAACTGTCGTCTCAGTAAGCACAAAATATCACATAAATTTGATTGTTGGACCATATTATATGCAGGTGGATACAGATTAAGTGTTGCTCCTGGAAAAACATACATGTTACGAGTGATCAATGCAGCACTCAACGATGAACTTTTTTTCAAAATTGCTGATCACAAAATGACAGTAGTCGAAGTCGATGCTAGTTACGTTAAACCCTTCAAAACAGACACAATTTTAATATCCCCTGGCCAGACAACAAATGTCATACTCACTGCTGATCAAAATTTCGGAAAATACATGGTGGTTACTTCTCCCTTCATGGATTCACCAATCACGGTCGACAACGTGACAGCTACCGCCACGTTGCATTACACCGGGGCACTCTCCAGTGCCCCGATGACCCTCACTAGTGCCCCGCCACAAAACGCGACATCAGTCGCTAACAACTTTATCAACTCTCTTAAAAGCCTTAATTCGAAAAAATACCCGGCTAAAGTACCGAAAAAAGTAGATCATTCGTTACTTTTCACAGTTGGGCTCGGGATTAACCCGTGCCCAACTTGTATACTGGCTAATGGAAGCCGGATTGTTTCTAGTATAAATAATGTTACGTTCGTTATGCCAAAGACCGCGCTTTTACAAGCGCATTTCTTTGGCATAAAAAACGTTTTCACGATGGATTTTCCAGGAAATCCGCCGTTCGTTTTCAACTATACGAGTACATTACCGCCGCCAAGTTTGGCTACGATGAGCGGAACCAAACTCTACCGTCTGCGTTATAACGAGACGGTACAGTTGGTTTTGCAGGATACTGGAATTATAGCTCCTGAGAATCATCCGATTCATTTGCATGGTTTTAATTTTTTTGCAGTGGGTAAAGGTTTAGGGAATTTTAATCCAAAAACGGATACGAAGAATTTTAATCTTATGGATCCTGTTGAAAGGAATACGATTGGAGTTCCCTCTGGAGGATGGGTGGCTATAAGATTCCGCGCTGATAATCCAGGTATGTTCTGCTTACTTTTTGTGTTTCTCGAGTTTAATTTCTATGCACTAATGTTATAGGACGAACTGAAATTAGTTACGAACTTTGTTATTAACCTGAGATTATATTGCTGATAGCTAATAAACTTTTTTGATAATCCATCACCATAATTTGTCTTGTCACTACTTTTTTATTTAAGTAGTACTCCTTTGTCCCAACGTGACAATTTACTTTTTTTTTTTCTTTAGAGTTAAACTATTTGATTTTTGACTAATATTTTTAGATGATATTTTTTTGTCATGGGAAATTTACAACTTATAGTATTTTTTATATAGTTTTTAAATATTTTAATTCAATTTTATAATTTTGAAATAATTTAATCTAATTAATTCTGAAAATTAGTCAAGTTGATGCTTGAAAAGTGAAACGTGACAACTGTATTAAAACAGATCGTAATAATATAAATGCATTTATACATTCAGGCCACTTATAATATAGCGGTATGTTAGTTTTTGACTATGGAATTATTTTTACTTTTTTCCGGAGTTGAACTCCCAAACACATTTGCCCATAAAATTTTAGAATTCAATTCAACTTAAAGTTGAATTTGAGAATTTTCAAAATTTAAAAACAACAAAAATGTGTTCACTTTTTTCACTCCAGATTTTACTCATATAAACTTTAAATTGTAGTCATGGTCAAACACAACTGTCCAATTTTCAAATATCATTTTTTCAGTTTAAAAGCAGTTTTTATCAAATTTTATAATGAAACATGATCAAACACCCATTCAATTTTGATCCGGGTGATAATATTGCAGGAGTTTGGTTTATGCATTGCCATCTAGAGATACACACAACATGGGGATTGAAGATGGCATTCCTTGTAGATAATGGAAAGGGTCCAAATGAGTCACTTTTGCCACCTCCAAAGGATCTTCCAAAATGCTAAAATAACAAAAAAAAACCTCTAAAGGAGTACAGCAAAAGCTGCACCATGCAATGAGGAAAAACAAGAATAGAGAGTCAACAAACAGTATATTCATTTTCTTGAGTGGAAAAAAAAAGGGGAATTTTGCTCAAGAAAACCTCAATAATTATACAGATGTATTTGTGTTGTATACAAATTTTTGTTGTTGTTGTTGTTGTTCAAGGAAGTTTGAGAAATGGATTGTTTCTTTCTGATTTGTTTGTACACACACTAAGGGGTAACTTGTATTCATTTTTAAATTTTTTTTCATATATATATCTGCTTTAAACATGTTGCGTCTGAAGTTAGGCTTGACAAACAGACAAAAAATTGTTGGACTTTAAATCATGTTGTTAGTATGACTGAAGTTCAAGTAAAAATAACTGAACTTCAATATATGTGTTTGAATCTCATATATTGTGTATGAAATTCGACTTTCTTAAAACTAACGTCAATCATACCACACCTCTTGATTGGTTTTTTCTTTTCTTTGTTGTTTCTCGACCTTGAGTTGTAATGGAAGATTGCTAAGGACGTAGGGGAAGAGGAAATTACAAGGTGGATATTCGAACCTTTATCAATAAGGTGAAAATTCAGATAGTTAACTGAGTTAAATCATCTCTTCATTTCTAATGGCTCCATTTATTTTACACGTGATTATAGCAAACAAAACTCCTTGTCAAATTCTGTCTTTTGATCTTTTACCTTTGTCCATTCTACTATCCATGGAAAAAGCTCATCTCTGTACAATGCCATATCCATACTGTGAATAACTTGGATAAAGATTCTTGTCATGCCAAAGATTAACCCTTTGGGGAAACATATTAATTGATCGAACACCGATAATATGTATAAATCACTCACATATTCTTCTGAATTATATGCATCCGCGAGATTAAATTGGAAAACAGTAGATATATGCAAGAACATATGCAAAATTTTACAAAAGATGTCGTCTTGTAGGTGAGTTTTGTATGAAACTGGTGCAATTGATCTTCCATTAGTATATAAATCAACAAATTCCCATACTTGTGGAATTAATTACATGTACATTGATTGAATTGAATACTTAAACAGCACAATAGGCAAGGTATTTTTGGTCAATACTGCAAATCTACTATAACTCCAGCAGCAGACTATATTTGCTGGCTAATATTTTACAATCTTCATCTAGATGTAAGCAATAATTAAGTACCTTCCTAAGCACAAAAACTATGTTTTTACAATAAATCTGAGAAATGTATCACCTAAAGGACTTCGGGTGCCTGGAGCCTACGCTTGAACAGCCATTGAAATGGTCTCGACAACTGTGCTCTCTTCTTCCTCCAGAACCAAATGGCTGCATTGTACTGCTCATTACGAATTTTTCTTGTGGCAGCCCTCCAATCAAACTTCTCCATTTCTGTACGTGCAGCCCGACCAATAGTTTCTCTCAATTCAGCATTGTACAGAAGTGGCTCCAGTTTGCTCAAGCAGTCGTCAATATCCCCAGGATTATACAAATATCCAGTTTTTCCCTGCTGATCATCAGAAATGATATCTGGAATTCCTCCAGCACGGGCAGCCAAAACAGGAAGTCCTGATGACATGGCCTCCAAAACAACGAATCCAAGTGTCTCTGACTCTGAAGGCATAACGAATATATCTCCACTGGCATATGCCTGAGAAAGTTCCTCTCCTAGTAACATACCTGTGAACACTACAGGCATGCCAGAGAACATTTTCTCCAATTCCTCCCTATAACAAGTGATGAAATGAATAATTTGTAGCTCAATCTTTTATAAGAATGAAAAATTACATGTCTCATGTTAAGCATACAAGCTATTAACAACAACATACCCAGTGTAATCCAACAAGTGGGGTCTAGGGAGGGTGGTGTGTATGCAGCCTTATAAGGATGCGTTCTATCAAAACAGGAATTTTTTATATATACCAATGCATTCTGATGTGCACATTCTCAACCGATAGCATTTTAGAGTAGATTCTTCTCACACCCCAATCATGTCCCTTCGATATGAGGGCTAGTCATCTGAAGACAATTTTACTTCCAACCAACATTTTTACTTCTAAGAGTTTCAGATAGTTTTACTTCCAACAAATATTTTTAATTCTATGATTTCTATGTCCAAGTCAGGGAGCACCTTTTTCGTTGAAAATTCCTCGTTCCCTTTTGTGTGAATGGCAGATTTCAATGATGAAGAGAAAACTCTTATACTCTTCATTTGAAAGGGGATGGACATCTTATTGTGAGTGGTTAAGGAGGAACCTTTTCATAGAGGAGAGTGATAGGGCGGTTAAAGCAAGCTTGAAAACAAAAGGAGATGTCATTCATTCATAGAAGAAAAAAATGGTCTCTCTCACTCATATTATACGGTTGTATCACTCGGCCCATTAGCTCCAAATGACCAATGTCCCAATCTTGTGGTTGTGGATCAAATCCAGTAGTTCTTGCCAAAGTAGAAAGTTTAATCTCGAGAAAGGATAGCTAATAAAATTTGACTTTTAAGACACCTCGAATTCCTAGGTTACAGTGTGCATTATGCCATCAGGTATAATAGAATAAACTGAAGAATCAAAAATTCCAAGTTTGTCTACGAAGAGGGAATATATAACACGCTAGTTTATAAGAATATATACACAGAGATATCTTGTCAACATAATAAATAACTCCAAGACTAATGATGGCAATGCATCACATATCTGCTGCAAATGGGAATGAAGTCAATAATTAGGGCACATATTGGCATGCTAACAGATAATTAACTACCGTCCATGTTCAACTAGCTAGCATTAACCAAATGACTGATAATGCAATGCAGTTCACTGTTCACTAAGTAATCTGTACCATCTAACAGGTAACAAATGAAATGGTAATGCTTAGCTAAGCGAAATTCTACCAATAATTCAGCAACTCCTACACAACATATAAATGGCATTATTGTTTTAAGTTCATCTTCTTTAGTAAAAAATTACCTGCTAAAGTAAAGTCGATAAAAGTTCAGTGGGATTATCATGTAGCATAGTGAAATACAACTAGTGTCTAGTCATGACTCCTTCCACACGAGATCCTCACTGATAATTTTTTATCATAGACTTGATTATCAGAAGAGGGAGAGAAAAGGAGACAAGACAGCTTATTGTGCATGATACTATATATCAAATATCTTTTACAGTGAAGTACAGGTAAATGATCCTGGAAAAGTTCTGAAAGTCAAAAGGTAAAATCGCTACTGCAACTCACCTATATGGCCCATCTCCAATAAATGCTATGCGAGCTTCGGGAAGTCTATCCATTAACCTGTTCCAAAGTCATTTTGAAATGCCATGTGCAAGTTACACCTTCATTCACTTCATAGCCAAAAATGCAAGTCTTATCCTTTCTCATTAACAAAGAGAGGCAATACCTTTTGAGAAAATCCAAATTCTTCTCGACTCCAAGTCGTCCAACATGGACTATCAATGGTTTATCAGGTTCCCCGTCACTGATCATGAAAAGTAACAGGAGAAAGGAAAAATAATTATCAGTACACATTAAGGTTGCTTATATAGTGAAAAAAATCTTCAGCAGGAAGCTCCCACCTCAGTCTTAGCCGCATTTCATGAGACCGATACCGGGGGTGGAAGCTCTCAGAATCAACACCCTTATTCCACAGACGTATTTTGTTAGCTGACAAATAGGAAAAGAGAGGAACAGTCAACAGCTCTGAGCAGAGCTTTAGCAGCAAAAAGAAGCCAACAGGAGTTCGCATCTAAGACCAACAAACACTGTTTTGACCGAACAGAGAAGATAATATTGTTTTAAACTTAAATTGCTAATTGGTAAAGTTCATGCCGTAGTGTAAGTAACAAGTACACCTGTCGGTCGTTTACCTGCTGTCACCCTATAAGCTTTCAGATCCTTCGCAATAGCAGCAGATGGCACCAATGTAAGATCAGCAGCTCTATGTAGAAACTCTGGTAAGCAGCAGTTATGTCTTAATTAGTAAACAGAGCTGGAGACCTGAGAGAGAATAGATACTGCAGAAGATAATGCTCTGCTCACATACTTATAATCATCCACATAGGTTGCACCAACCAACTGAAGGTATATCTAGGTATGTATCTGCAAAATAAGGGGCAGGATCAGTGTAGAGCCCTTAATGAATATAGAATGTAAGAAGAAGCTTCAGAAACTCATTCTCTATGTTATTCATCAGGAAGATCAACAGAGAAAATGTTTTGGCTTCTTGAATCATGTAATTTACAGAACCTATCAAATGTTCTGATCTGGAGACAAGATATTCAAAAATGTGACTTACACAGGCACATGCGTGTGATAAGACATCACTATCGGAACACATAACAGTTTTGCAATGATAAGAGCACCAAATACCTAACAATAGGATAAAGATTATCTCTGTCAGCAAGCTGGGGAAAAAATTAGAACAACCTTAAGCTCCTTGAAGCTACAAGACGAACATCACTGCACCACTTAAAGGAGGAACAAAAAGAAACTGAAAACTCACCATTATACCAGGAGATGATGCATGTATGATGTCGGGCTTGAATCGTGCTACTTCTGAAATTATTCTAGGGCTGAGAGCTAGTGACAGGGGAACCTTCTGGTACAAGGGGCAAGGGAAACTGAAAATGAAGAAAGAAAAATGTTTCTTTAACTAACTAGCCAATTACCATACATGGAGAATATTTCATAGTCATGCACCCTCAAACGTCACTGATTTTTTTGCTGATATTGCAACAGATAGAATTGAGTGAATTCATTGAGTAACTTTGAAAAAGAATATACGAAAGGAAGTAGAATCTGCAACCTTCTTGATCCAATCAACTTTGCTCCATAAAACTCTTGAGGTACCCCTTCATGTGTTGTCACAACCATAACCTGTACCCCAAAATTAACAGAGGAGTATAAGTGGCCAACATCAGATGTAAACTTCAATTCTTAGCCACTGTAGGAACTCACTCAACAGTCCAGCTGAACAATGCTAAGAAGTAATACAGTTAGTCCCTATGAACTAAATGACTGTTAGAATAACTGTTTCTAGGTAAGTGCAGACAAAATATATCAAGATTGCTTGAAATTAGTTTAGGGGAACAGAACTAGTAGAGGTCAAGATTATGAACTCCTGATTGGCAAATAGCATCCTGAGAGAATTTGAAATGAATAATCAGCTCAAACATATCAATTTTGTGGGTAGACACATGGTATAGCAGTAAATTCAGAAGGCCAAAAGAACACCAACATGCTATCAGTTATCAACAACACTCTTGTCAGCAACGAGTATACCTCATCCCCCATTTCACGGAGATATCTTATAAAATTCTGGAACCGGTTCTTATAGCCAGATACATACCTGCACATTTCACAAAGGAAAATGGTGGTTATGTCAGAGTGTAAACTCAATTGAGCATGAATTTCGTTCTTCTGGAAATGTCAATCTTTATTCTCTAAAATTACTGATCAGAGCTGATCCATAATTCACCATATAAGGCATCGGAGTCCCCAGCTGAGAACATATCCGACTCCCAAAATTAAAGGGTGAAGGCAATGTCACTTCTAAGTGGCACTGAGTAATAAAGACAGCAAAATGTAATAGAAGTGGGTATTCTGCTGAAGTGTATCTGCAGTTGAAAGGCATCTGATTGGACAGAGCAATATTTATTTTTCCAGATTGATATTCATTGACTTCCAAAATACTATGAGGAGCCATTAAAGAAAGAATGCAGAGATAACATAGATTGAAATGCAGCTCAAGAAAAGAAAAATAAAAAGAAAAATTTAGGTTTCAATGCTGAAGTGGTATCAGTGCAGCAAAACAAGTTTTGAGATGGTGATTGACCATGCACATTGCTATAACTAACAAACATGCGGCTGCCCTTCAATAGCTACATTTGTTAGAAATCATAGTTCCTTCCCTTAGGTCTAGGCTAAGCCTTAACATAAGTCCTTCCTTACAGGCTATTCAAGATCTATTGGCTCCAATACTCATGTCTTACACATGAGAGATTTGTTCCAAAAGCATATGTGGATAGATAGCTGATCAAGTCTACATTTCCATACAATGGAGAAAAAAGAGGTTCATATCAAAATTCTTATGCTAAGAATCATTATCTACTACACAATTCTAGCACATAGCGGAAGATAGAAGACCAAACAAACAACATATTAGGAAAGTCAGCAAAAGTTCCTTAAAAATCTCACCACGAATGATCAAAATCACACAGATGAGAGATTCAATATATGAGACCACTGAAGTAATAAAACTTGACATGAACAAAATTCACATACACTGAAATACTGTTGCAAATTAACAGATTATAAAAGATATGCTGCAAAAATTCTCAATAACACATTGCCATTTTCATTATAGACGAAACAAATGATTAGTTATCATCAGACATCAGTTCTATCTGTCAGTATATGAATAGTGAGAAGTAAGTCACAGAAGCTCAGAAGGGTTGAAGAAGAAATTAAACCTATTGGATCACTCAGAAGTCAACTCAACTAACAGAAAGAGCATAGCAGTAACAGAACCAAAGTTTAGTAATTGACTCCAACAATTTGCAGTTAAGACACAAATTATAAGACTATAAAGGGGAAAAAATTCACAAAAATCACTCACGAAAAAGGAGAAGGCTCAACAAAGATAGCAATACGTCTAGGCTTCGAAGTCATTTCAGATTCAATCGAAGGAGGAGGACCCTCTTCCTCTTCTTCCCTATACTCTTTAACTTTCATGTTGCTAGCTGCAATTAAGGGTCTTTTCTTGAAGGGTCTTTCCCTAAATCTCCTTTCACACTGCAAAAAATTAACTTTTGTGCAAATTAAGCTAATGGGGTTTGTTCTTGAAGTAGAAAAGTGAGAAAAATCATGAAAACTTGAAGGTACTGAAACAAAAGAAGAAGAAGAGGAGATAACAGGATTTATAAACAGAGAAGAGGCAGCCATGGTGAGTTATTTGGATAATGATGTTAAATATATTTGAATTTGATTAGCTCAGAGAGCAGAGAAGTGTGGAATTTGAAAGATAGAGAGAAATTGAGGAGCCGGGACTCCGGCAATGGATATTCTTATTTACAGTATGGAATAATTGGAGAGTATATGCCACAAGTTTCACAAGAGTATATTATGGAGTCATTCTCATATTATTGACACATTTGGATGTTGCTGCGATGTGCAACATTTTTCTTGTATGTTTTTCTTTTCTGAGGGTATTTCGAAAATCGTCTCTTCATCTCATGCCATGAGGTAGTGGTTAGGGTTTACGTATACTTTATTCTTTTCAGACCTCATTTTGTGGGATTTCACTAGTTATATTATTGTTATTTTATTTTTTGAGTTTTAGATGTTTTTAATACAAGAAATAGTTTAGTTAAATGTATCACTACTTGACCTCCACCTACTCGAGTGGATATGTTCGGTTGCTTGTTAGGGAGTGAATTATTCATAATTCAAAGTAGTATGTCATGTTTGATAGTATTTTATTTGTTCGGTATAAATTCAACATAACGAACTATGGTATTTGGCTCTTCGTTCACAATCTCACTTAAAATAAACGTGGTGGAGCCAAATTTTTCAAAGGGTTCAAATTTTGTAAAGTAAACACACTTCAACCCTGCACATGAATAATTATTGTATCATTAATATTAACAAGGGTTCAATGACACTTTCTTGTTGTCTGTCAGCTTAGTTCGACTAGACTCGATCCATTCGTTTCAAAAATTTATATCGCTCAACTCGTTTTCAGTCAAAACTCAACCCAATCCAACTCGATTTCTATCAAAATTCGACCCAATTCATCTCGATTAGATTAAATTTTGATAAAGTTTGACTCAAGTCTATTCAAACTTTATCAAATTTGTACATAACATGTAACTTTGTACATACCCCTTCCTATGCAAAAACACTAGTCGACTGCACCCCAAATTACCTTCTATTGTTCTTTTTCTATTAACAAAAAAATGAAATCTCTCTCAATTAGTCATAACAGGATAAGTTGCGCGAACACTTCACTTTTGATGTCGCACCCATGTCGGATTCTCCAAGAATACACAACTTTTGGCGAATCTGCCACGTACCCCTTGATATTTTTGAAGAATCCGAGCAACATAGATAGCAGGCTAGCAGCATATTTTGAATTCAAAACAGACTCATAATTAGTTAGTAAAAGTAGAAGTTTGACTACATTTTGCAACAAAGGAAACAAACAGTTCTAGTCTATATGTGGTTATCCAACAAAGTTGCATTAAATAGCATTTATACATATTAGTTGGACACCCCATAAGAGTCTTGAAAATCTATTGTATAATCAAAAAAGGCAATTTTCAAGAATAGCAACTAGTCTAACTTGTTTTCTTTTTATTAGACAAATGGAGCTTCTGTTATACTTGCATCTCTCAATTATTGTTATGTCCATTGCAATCTCAGGTTTTGAATCAACTGATCTATTAGCATGACAAGACTTGAAAAACAGAATAACTGATGATCCACTTCTTGTCATGGCTTCTTGGAATGATCATTCTTCACATTTCTGCAACTGGACTGGTGTAACATGTAATCCTTATAATGCAGAGTTATCAATCTTGATTTGAGTTCACGAAAACTCGTTGGCACCATACCGTCTTCCATTGGCAATCTCAGCTTCCTAACAGGTATACATCTTGAAAACAATACCTTCCATGGTGAAATTCCTCAAGCAATAGGTCTCTTGCTGCAGCTTGAACATCTCAATCTCAGTTCAAATTCTTTTAGTGGAAAAATTCCGACAAATTTAACTTACTGTAAGGAGCTTAGAGTACTTGATTTACGAGCTAATGATCTTGTTGGAAAGATTGTGGATCAACTTAGTTCATTGTCAAAGTTGAACTTCTTAAGACTTAAGAGCAACTCTTTCACAGGAGGCATCCCGTATTGGATAGGAAACTTTTCGTTTTTAAAGTACCTTGACATTTCGAGTAATAGTTTACAAGGACCAATACCTCAGGATCTTGGCCGTTTAATGAGTTTGGAAGTATTTAAAGTGTATGAAAATGAATTATCTGGTACAATCCCTTCGTCGATTCTCAATATTTCTTCCATTTACTATTTCTCTGTTACTCAAAATCTGCTGCATGGACAACTTCCAGCAAATATAGGCTTAACTCTTCCAAACCTTGAAGTATTTGCTGGTGCTGTCAACAGATTCACCGGATGTATTCCTGTTTCATTGGCGAATGCTTCTAGGCTTCACGTGATTGATTTTTCCCAAAATGCACTTACCGGGGATGTGCCATATAGTATAGGAAAACTGAAAAGTTTGGTTAGGCTCAACTTTGAGGTGAACAGACTAGGAGGGAGGGGAAGTTCTGAAGGTTTGAAATTTCTTGATTTCCTAACAAATTGTACAAATATGATAGTACTAAGTTTTGCAGCCAATTACTTTAATGGAGAATTGACTTACTCGATCGCTAATCTTTCAACTGTACTTGAGATACTTACTCTAGGTGACAATAGGATACATGGTACTCTTCCTGCTGGAGTAGGTAGTCTTACTAAGTTGACACTACTAGGAATGGAAAATAACTGTCTCAACGGCAGTGTTCCTGAGATGATAGGTAGACTTAACGGTCTGGAAGGTCTTTATTTGAGTGGAAATGCGTTTTCAGGGACGATACCACTCTCTATTGGTAACTTGACAAAGTTAATCAGTGTATACTTGCAAGAGAATAGACTAGAAGGAATCATATCTCCAGAGTTGGGGAATGTAATATCTTGTCTGTGCTGAACCTTACTAAGAATCATCTTGTTGGGTCCATACCTGAAGAGGTTGCAGGACTATCTTCCCTTTCGATCTCTTTATCGTTGGCAAGTAATTCATTCACTGGACCTTTGCCAAAAGAACTTGGTCAGTTGATAAATCTCAAGGAATTGGATGTGTCACAGAACAAATTATCAGGTGAGATCCCAAGTACTCTAAGCAATTGTCTCGGCTTAGAGCGAATAAATATCAGTAGTAATCTCTTTCAAGGAACTATTCCTCAATCTTTAACAGATTTAAGAAGTTTAGGTGAGATGGATTTCTCAAGGAACAACTTGTCAGGGGAAATACCAGAGGTTCTTGGGAAACTTCCATATCTCCGGAAACTTGACCTTTCATTCAATGAACTTGAAGGTAAGGTTCCAAATGAAGGGATCTTTGCAAATACAAGCGCATTTTCAATCAACGGAAACAATAGACTTTGTGGTGGTGTACCCAACTTACATTTGCCTGAATGCTCTAAAGCTACCAAGCATCTTGATTCAAGAGTACTGCTAGCTGTTATAGTTACTCTTGCATTATCAGTTTTGGTGCTATGTTCCTGTGCTGCTTATTACAAACTCAGCAACTCAAGAAAGGCACAACCTTGGAATGCTGAGCAACTGTTTGAGATACCAAGAACTACATATCGAGCAATACATAGAGCGACAAATGGATTCTCTGATGCAAACTTGGTTGGTAGAGGAAGTTTTGGTTCAGTATACAAAGCACATTTCGATGTTGACAATACAATAATGGCAGTGAAAGTGTTGAACCTACAACAAAGAGGTGCCTTGAGGAGCTTCCTGGATGAATGCAGAACGTTGAGTACTATTAGGCATCGTAATCTTCTCAAAATCAAGACTGCTTGTTCGAGCATTGATCACCAAGGTAATGACTTCAAATGCATAGTTTTTGAGTTCATGACTAACGGAAACCTACATGATTGGTTGCATACAGAAAATGATGATCAGCAACACCAAACAAAGAAGCTGAGTTTCATCCAAAGACTAAACATTGCCGTAGATGTTGCTTCTGCACTTGACTATCTCCACAACCATTGCCAAACACCAATAGCTCACTGTGATCTAAAGCCAAGCAACATACTCCTCGACGAAGATATGTCTGCACATGTTGGTGACTTTGGATTAGCAACATTTCTCCTTGACACATCGAGTAGCAATTCTCGAAGTCCTCAGAGTCCTGCAGCATTAAAGGGTTCTATAGGTTACATCCCAACAGGTACGACGATGTCATTAGTTTACATTTCATAAACGATTAATACATATATCATCTTAAACAAATCTATTTGGTACCTCACAGAGTATGGATCAGGCGGTCAAGCATCCACATTCGGAGATGTTTACAGCTTTGGGATAGTATTGCTAGAGTTATTCATCAGTAGAAAACCAACTGACGCGATGTTTAACGAGAGTCTAAACATTCACAAGTATGTTTCAATGGCTTTGCCAGATCATGTCATGGAGATTGTAGATCCCTCATTGCTCTTGGCAGAGGAAGAGCAAAACATCAATCAAGATGAAGCAACAAGAATGGAAGAATGTTTACACTCAGTTTTGAAAATTGGGCTTACATGTTCTGCATCATCACCAAGAGATAGAATGCCAATAGATACTGTTTTGAGCAAACTTCAAGCAATCAACAAGTCCTTCATTTCAAGTAGATTATAATAAAAATCCTCCCTCTCCGGACTCTTGTTTTACTTTCCTTTTTAGTTCATTTTTTTTAAAATGTGTTTTTCTTTTTTCTGCAACTCTTTCCACTTGGTATTATAAGACCACAGGATCAACGGACATTTTGATACCGTCTAGATTTCTTTATTTTAAAACCACAAACCTCCCTCATCCCTAGGTTTCTATGCCTGGAAAAAATTGAATCCTCCTGAATCAGATATACTATACATCGCACCAAATCGATAATCCAAGTCAAAAAAAAAAAAAAAACCCTACTATAGTTCCGTTTTGTTTTTTGTTTGAGAAAAATTCCATCATAATTAATTTGAGTCTTTTAGTAAATTAATCCGATATTACATGTATACAAGTTTTAAAATTATTTTATATTTATGGTAATATAATTCATAAATATTTCTTAATTTTTTATTTTATTTTTTTGTATTTTAACATATTATTTCAAGCTTGGACTTTGATTTTTAGGATGGTCCAATAAGTTTTATAGTTCATAAATATCAGTAACTCAAATAAAGCTCAAAACCAAACCCTAATCAATATTATTTCTAATAAAAAATATTCAAATACCTGGAATGATAGTAGTATTGGATATCTTTTTTTAATTTTGCATTGATTTATTAAATAACTAGAAATAGTGTATAGTCATGAAATTAATAGTGCTTATTAGTTGTACTTTTTAGATTAGGTTCATTTTCGTTATAACTTATTAATTAATAGTAATATTTATCTTATATGATTTTGTTATCTTTATTGCCGAATATATATGTTATTATAATGACATGACTAAGGACCCCATAAGTTTTGAATCAAGAAAATGACCTTTCATTCTTTTTTTTTTCTTTTTATAGTCTTGTCGTTAGTTTGAAATTAAGGAAATGACCTTCATTGAAGAAGATTGATTAGCGAATAATTAAAGATTGATTAATTAAGGCTCCCATTTCCCAAGTTCCTACTCGGATGGAAGTCACGTGTCATAATTAAAAATTAAATAATTTCTTTGTAATATTTCCTAATTAATGTCAATCTCATAATTCTAGCTAAAATGATCTCAATTCATAAATCTATCTAAAATTTATCTCTTTTTTAAAAACGATTTTTTTCTTTTTTTGTTACTACAAAATCTTTTTCTATTTTGTTCTAAATTTTTTTTTGCAGTTTTGAGTTATTGAAAGAAAAAAAGCTAACATCATCCATTCTTTTTTTTTTAAAATAAAAATAAAATTTGTTAATATTCTTTTTAAAATTTAACATTAATGTTGATTAGTTTTCTAAGGGTTTCCCGTAAGGCCTAAGCGTTAGATGACTATTTCTCTACTGTTTGATGGAAATATAAAGAAGAACACGGAAAAAATTAAAGAACTCCTACATGACCAAAAAAGAGGACAAGAAAAATATCTTTTTAAAAAAAAAAAGAAGAAGAAAAGCTCGCATCAAATGGAAAATAGTGATTTTTTGAAATGACTTCTGAGATAGTAATTTTTAGCTAGAAATATGGATTTGATGTTTTTTAAAAGAAAATAAAGAAATTATTTGCTATTTTAATCATGATTAGGACTTTAATTTAGGTAATTAAATCTCAACCTTTAATTTTTTTATTATGACACATGACTTCCATTCGAATAGGAATTTGAGGAAATGGAGAGAATGCAATGGAGAGGAGCTTTGTCCGAAAATAGACAACCACATAATTTATTTGGACTAAAATTCCTTTATATTTCATGTTTCAATTATGACAGACATGGTTTAATGTATTTGTCCCATATCTAATATTACCTCCGTCCATTTTTAATTGTCATAGTTTCCTTTTTTAGAGTTAATTGATAATAATTTTGACTAACATTTTACGATGTATTTTTTAATCATATTGATATGCAAAAAAAATGGAATTTATAGTACTTTTCGTATAGTTTTTTGAATATCTAAATTTTTTGTTTAAAATATCAAATTAATGTAATCTAATTTAACTTTGAAATTTGTCAAATTGACTTTTGAAAAACGCAACATGACAATTAAAAGTGGACAGAGGGAGTACTTCCTCTGTTTCTATTAGTTTGTCTAATTAATTTTAACTTAACACACATTTTTCAGAAGTAAGGAATTTTTTTTGAGTTTTGTGCTCTAAAACTAAAGATAGTGCTCCCTCCATCCAACTATAGTTGTCCACTATATTATTTTAAATGTCCAACAATATTTGCCCCCTTTATAAATCAATGAATAATTTTACATTTAGTTTCTAATTTACCCTTATCAATTATCATAAATTATAGTCATTGACTCATTTTCCTATTACATTTTTCAAGACATTGTATTTATTATAGGAAAAATCCTTTTAGCCAAAAAAATTGGTCAGAATTTGGCCAGAATGGTATTTTACTTATGTTATTTTACCTTTTTGAACATTTTTACCATTTTAACTTTAATACATTTTAATTAAAAATGGAAAAAAGACCACTTTATTTTAAAATAAAAAAGATATCATAGATTTTTTAATTTTCTGGTTAAATTCTGGCCAAATTTTCTGGTCATTTAGCATTACCATTTATTATATTCAAAGGATGACATAGTAAAATTATTTTTCTATTTATATTTCTTAAGAAATGTGCAAATTCAATAGTGGACAAGTATTGTTGAGCACAGAAAGTATCAAACTTTCCTTTAATATTGTGGTTTTAAATATGTTGATATTTCTAAAGTTAAGGGCAGTAGATCGATCAGATGTGGGCCAAGGCCCGGAGCAGCCGTAGGAGAAACAACAAGTCATTCAATCTATTCTTCAAAGATGGAATGGAGGATCACTTTCTTAATAATTTAAATAGATAGTTCGGCTCACATCAAGGGGAAGCTCTTCATTAACTGAAAGCTTATCGCCTTTGACTCCTCTCATTTAATTTGTTACTTTGTCAAATATGGGAAGTTGAAATTAACAAGTTGTCCAAAAAATAATAGACATTCTTTTGACATGAACTAAAATAAAGTAAGACAAACAAATTAAAATAGAGAAAATAATCATTATTTACGCAAAAGAACAAACTCTATTATTGTTTCATTTTTTTTTCATGCTAACATACTTAAATCATACTCATATCTTAAAAATATGTCTCTATATCCTGTTTAGTATTTTATTTTGGGCTAAATATACTGAATATGTTATTGAATATTTTACTTTGTATCATGAGATGTTAAACTTTCAATCAAGATCAAGCAAGAACAATGGAAGAATGTTTACTTTCGGTTTTGGAAATTGGGCTTACATGTTCTGCATCATCACCAAGAGATAGAATGCCAATAATCACAGCTTTGAGCAAACTTCAAGCAATCAAGAAGTCCTTCTTTTCAAGGAGATTATAATATGAATCAAATGATGAGTTAGTGACAGACTAATTATGTTTATCTTTCATATTTCCTATTTAAACCTTGATATATATATCAAAGAATGCTACATAGTCAACTAGTATGCTAGAATTACAATATAATGCTAATTATTGAACAGGTTACCTACAATCTACATAGTTAACTACCTCCTTTTCGTTAAGTTCCTGTCATGTTGTGGTGCTTTATAGAATTTACCCTATTAATCTAAAGTCGGCAAAGCAAAAAAAGCTTGACGGATATAAGGCAAGAACAACACAATCTGATAATCAGATATGTTGAAGGTCTAGTTGGAATAGAAAACCTGCAACTCTATAGGCAAGTAATCTTTGTTAAAACTGTATTTTATTTGTTATGACTTGCTTAGCTCCACCACTACTCTAACCACAGTAAATTCTCTACTTTTCTCAATTATCATAACAAAAACTCAAGTAAAAAGCATAGAGAAGTTGGTAAAACATCAACTTATAACTATTCCCAACCTTTATTTTATATGAGAAGCTCAATAAGATGGACATACTCTTAATAAGCATAAAAAAGGTCAATTTTTGAATCAGCACTATTAAGCAAATCAGAGTGTCAATATAGAGGCTTATGGGTGTGAGTGTGACATTATCATCTTTTAAGTTACATGGTTCTAAATCAATAATTTAGGCATATTCGATGAATTTCTTAAGACAGATACAATGTATGAACCAAAGTTATTGGATT